AATGTCATAAACTCTTGCAAAAGTTTTTAACTAAAAAAAACCTGATAGGTGAAAGTTTTATTGAAGCAATCATTAAATTTTTATCTAAAACTGAAAAATCAAGAAATGAAGAAAAGACTTATATGGGTACTTCCAAAAGAACTAAAAAGAGAAACCAGTAACCAATGGTTTCCTCTGCAGACTATCAGATCCTGTGCCTTTGTTAGAAAAGGCTATAAAATCGACTCTCAGTTTTCTAACAATCTACACGATCACCTAAGAAGGAATCAGAGTTTTCAGAAGAAAATAATAATCACTAATATTTCATTGAATTTCAACTTTTTCTAGGCATTCATTACATGTTTTAACTCATTTAATACTCGTCTCAAATGTATGGGGGAGGTACTATTATGATGCCCTTTTTATAAATGAAGAAACTACAGAGAGATTAAACACTTCCATAAACTCATACATCTAAATGATTAAGCCAGAATCTGAATCCATGAAGTCTGGCTTCATGGGAAAAAAAGCAGTTACTAGAGAAAGACAATTATTCCTAGTACTAAGTGCATAAAGAAATATCAGTGAATACATTAAATAATATTTATAATTTGTAAAAGAATCAGCCATATGACTGTACCCATCCTCTGGCTATACTATAATTCAAACACATTCTTCCCCTTGTCCACAAAGATAGAACATAAGAGATTGAGTGAAATGTCTACACTTGGGACATCTCTAGCAAAACAACATCACAGAAAGCTAAATTATGTATCCAAAAATAAATGGAAAGTAGTTTGTATAACTTTTCATTAGTCTCCTAATATCTGGAGATTCCTACTTTCTTTCCATGGGTATAACCAGTATTTTTATCTCTTTTGAACTATTATTTTTTCCTAATGACTTTATAATTTTAAGTTTAAAAGTATTTTCTCCATAACTTTACATGGACCAACAGACATAAGGCTCTTTTAAGGATCTCCAAGAAAAGCATCATTTAATATGTTCCGATATAAAAATGAATTGTAAGTAGATAAACCTGCTGATTCAAATGAACAGAATCTAAACTATTTAAATTATTTTTTACATAATGCAGGATCTGACAATAAGAAAAGAACTTTTTTCTAACTTTCTAACTATATGACATTTGGCAAGTTATGTTCTATCAAGCACCAAAAAGATTATAGGTTTTCAAATAATTTACAACATTTTCTTCTTAGGTTTTCACCAGGTAACATTGAAATATATAATAAATAAGTTTGAATAAAAAAAGCTTCAAAGAAGAAATATACAATAGAAACATACTAAGTAGTATGAATCTAAAGTCAAAAGGAGAGTGGTGAATATGTTACGCACTATGCATTAGAGAGCATGAGTTAATCTATAGAGACCAGCTTGATTGACAAAGCACACAGAATTGCCTAGAGCATGGTACTGAACCTTGGTCAAAGCTGTGAGATGTACTAACCAGGGATAAATGATGTTCTGCAAATATGGGTCCGTGAGCTGTTTCAAGGCAAGACAGACTAGCTTGTCAAAATTGTTTGGCAATAATCACTGGATTTATTCCTTCTACCTGGATTTGGTGGAGTCCAGGGGTTTTCAATGATTTCAGTGAGAAATCTCTACCACACATAGACTTGGGATTTCTTGGTACCAAGATGCTGCATGCCCATGCACGCCCATGGTGGTTCAGCACCGGGAGACCAAGTCCTGTGAGGCCCAGTAGAGGGATGATAAAGAAGACTGTGTCTGAGTTTGCCATGCCCACCCTGTTACCGCTTTTCTTTCTCCTGAAGCTGCTGTGGTGCATCATTTCTGACTACGAACTATTCTGAATCCTCTGAGTCCTTTCCTAATCAATTATGTAATTACATGATGTTAGCATAATACTTATCATGAGCGCTTAGTTTTAAATGACATCAGTAAAATGAAGGAAATAGTAATTGTTTACTGATACTCTGAGTCAGGCCTAGCCTTTCACTCCCCCAGGAACCTCACCTGGTTTGAGCTGAACCACTTCTTAACTCATATAAATGATGTGGCGTTGAAAAACACGTAAGCCTTGAAAATTATCCCATTAAAATACTCGTAATTTCTCCAGGGTGTTAAAAATGTCATATTAATGGAGTCTTCGTTAGTAGCATCAGTTCATAAACTCAGGTATTGTCATTTAAAGTTTAACAAAATAAAGCAGACTGAGGTCAGATGGAAAATAATTCTCTGTGAGTGTGGATAAAGTCACAGAACTTCACTGTATGATTTCGATGCGTATCCAAAAGCTGGCACCAGTTTCATACACATTTCCAGGAAATAAGTAAAAATCTTGACCTCTAACACTTCAGAAAGAATCACCATCCAAATCTCAGTTTCGTTCTTCTCATCACTTCTCGCTTCCTATCTTTCTCCCACTTGTATTTTTAGACCCACGGCTCCCAGATCTGTTCTTAGTAGTTAGGAAAAATATCAAACTAAATTTACTAATTTTTCAGATATCCCTTTTTGAAAATAAATTTCAGTAACCACTGAAGGTGACAGCTAAGACACCAATTAATAAGAAATATAAAACCACATCTATTTTAAATTCTTAGTTTTAAAAAGTTCATTAAAAATACAGGCCTAGGGGCGCCTGGGTGGCTCAGTCATTATGCGTCTGCCTCGGCTCAGGTCATGATCCCGGGCTCCCGGCTCCGCAGGAAGCCTGCTTCTCCCTCTCCCACTCCCCCTGCTTGTGTTCCCTCTCTCGCTGTGTCTCTCTGTGTCAAATAAATAGATAAAATCTTTTAAAAAAATAAATAAATAAAATAAAAATAAAAATACAGGTCTAGTTTTGGGATTCTGTTTTTGTATTAATACTTTACCAAGAACTACCACCTAAAATATATTCAGAGGACTCAAATATTATTTTTAATAAGTTAAAATTGAGAAAAGACTTTCTCCTTATACTCAATTAATTAAGACCCTGGGTTAAATAATTTGGGGGGACAAGGGAGGGCTAAAGGTCCCATTTCAATATCAAGATATGTGCAAAGTGAATGAGGAAATAAATGTATGCCTTTAAAAGATGAAAGTAATGTTCTGTAACCTCAAGGTCAAAAAGTAGTATGAATGATGAGCGCTACCAGGAAGAAGAGATCACTAGGGGCTATGGAGGTCAAGGAGGAGTTCTTGGAAGATAAAGGAGTTGAAATATGTTCCTCAAGATAAGTAGGTTCTAAACAGAATGCAGTATTTTAAACAGAAGAAATGACAGAGAGAAAGGCACAATAATAAAACAGTAATTCACAAGTCACATTTGAAGGAATATGACTACGCCAGTGTGACTGTACCTAAGCTTGAATACAGGGAGAGGTAAGTGATAAGACTGGGTAATGAAAGATTGCAATACCAGGGTCAAGAGCTTAGATTCTGTACAGAATGGGGGGGGGGGGGCCACTGAAGGCGTGTGAAGAGGAGAGGCACATGATGGATGTGGAAGTTTCACTTCTACCCACAGGTCTCAGATCTTCCAGTACTAGAGTTACACAGAATGAGTTCATTCCTTTTTCCATGATAGTCCTTCCTAGACTTGAAAACTGCTATTATTTTCCTCCATTTGGAGGAAGGATGAGAAGGACAGACTGAAGAAGAGAGAGACTGAAAATCAGGAGATAGTTGAGAAGCCGTTTGTAATTTGTAGGAGGTTTGAAATAAAAGGATGGCTATGATTTCATGTAACTATAAACTTCCTTGCAACTGAAAAATGTTCTTATAAAAAAAAAGAAAGAAAAAAGAACAATGTTCTTAACAAGTTGAATGTGTATCTTACTTATTTCACTTTAAAATTCACTTCAAAGCCTAACGGGCAGCTTTAAAACCAAGTTCTCTACTGACAGAGGAAAGTGCTGTCTCAAGAGCAGACAGTAATCTGCAGAAAGACAGTCACATTTCCTGAGGGAGCCCACCCACACGGCTCTAAGAGAGCATCAGACAGTTTTTTCTGTGCTCTTTCCAATTATTTCACATACTTTTTTCAGGACTATGGGTAGTCTTGAAGCATCAACATAGCACCCATAAAAGTCACTGATGTTGTATTCTTTAAACATTTCCTTCAGCATTAAAGGGTATTTTCCAACTGAAAAAGCCTAAATTCTAAAACTTAAACCCATGTTTGTGCAACATAAAACCCGCTGCAATAAAATCCTCGTGTTACCCTCTTTACAGCAATATTAACTCATTGATATTTCAGAGTATCTGGCCGTGACATTCTGATGGTAACACTAAAACATTTTCATAATTGCCCACACTAAATAATGTCCACTGTGTTCCTTTGTAGGATTGATGGAAAACTATTAAGACATAAGCAACACGATATTTAAAAATAAATACCCTATGACCAAATAAAATGGATTTCAAACCTTGACCTTAGTTGGCTCAGGACTACTTTCTTACTGTTTTCTAAGCTACAATTTTCAGAACCCCCAGGACAGGATATATATTTCAAGGTCCAAAAGAATGTACCCTCTGTCCTATTAAGTTGGCAAAGTTACAGTTTACCAAAGATTAGTCCTATAAAGTCTATAAAGAGATTTTTTTAAATGCCTGTATTAACCTCAAATAATTCAGTCAGTTTATCTAAAAACGTGCTGCTGGATACATGTATAATCGTTTCAATTTCAATTTACTGTATAACTAGTTTTATTAAAAGGATTTAGAGTCTAAATTCATATTTGTTGAGGACTTAAGCAGAAATTTTATGCAGTTAGGCACACTAACATCATTCAGTAATTAACCATATTGATTCACACCGTATACTTCATATCTTCATGTCGTTCTAAAATACCGTAATTTTTGGTCTTAAATTACATTTGCATAAACTAACTACAATAAAGAAGGAAACATTAAAAACTAAAGGCAGGTGTTAAGTATTTAGTTAAAATCTTCATTGTAATTACATATAACTACAGGTACAATTCTAGAAAACTAAAATTCAACAAAATGTTAAGTAATAAAATTATACATATCTGAAGCCACATATTTACCTGACAGTGCCCTTGGTGTTTCTGAGAACTGTTGCAGCAAAATTCTGTGTGACACCCACCAAGCTGATTCCATCCACTTCCACAATCTGGTCATTGACTTGTATTCTTTGGGAAGAGGAGAAAAATTAGCCACAATTAACTTTTCTGATAGTACATTATCATTTTCAATACATGAGTTGGCAAAGTACTTGATTTTATGATACTCTTACTGACCCCAAAATTTGTCTTTTATCCATAAGCTCTGATCTTAGTCAAATGCTTAATGTTTTTATTATTTTTTTTAATTTTAATTTTTTTTTTTTTTTTTTTAAGAAAGGCAGACTGCCACGTGCAGAGCCTCATTTGGATGTGTCTGGAGTCTTGGAAGCTCGACTACCCTATGTTCTCCTACAAATGGACCTTGAGAGTTTGTTTGGAGGCTCTAGCAGGGGAGCGCAGAAGAACAGTTCCCCTCTATCGGGGAAGGTCGTCCTCTTCGACCGAGCGCGCAGCTTCGGGAGGGACGCACGTGGAGTGGTGAGGGAGGAAGGGGACACCCGCCTAGCCAGCCAGATGAGATGAATCAACGCTGGAGAGCAATGGGGTGACAGATGTCGCAGCCAGATCGCCCTCACATCCTTAATGTTTTTAAAAGATCGTCTTGTATGGTGACTAACATAACACAATAAAATTAAAAAAAAATAAAATAAAAGATCGTCTTGAAAAATAGATTGTTTTGAAAAGCAATACTAAATGGAAAGATTCAGTTTGCCCAATATTCATATTCCTATCACAAAGAATTGGTAACTGCTAATGTATGACATACTTACATCATTTTTGGTCCTTAATAAATTACATAAAACAACAGATCCAGCTGAAATATGCCATGGGCCTCACCCCTAGTCCTGCTTTCCACCTCTCCTCTTCAAGGAAAAACATCATCAGGAATTGCATGGAATCCTTCCTATTTAAGTTGTATGCTTGAAACAGATAATGCTCATAACTGTACCTATGTTTATGTGTGCACACACGTATATAAATGCATATATTTATTTATGTTTAGGAGCAATATACAGTATTAGTGTTGTTTAATGTATAATGCTTTTAAATTTATATACATGTTTTATACATACCATTTTTTTATTCCTCAAAAGGAAGTATTTCTCTTTTTTTTTTCCAGAAGTATTTCAATCATGGAGAAATGCAGAGGGAATTAGGTAATAAATGCCCATGTACCAAACACCCAACTTTATCAAATCTCAGCACTGTGCAATATTTGAGTCAGATTTTTTCCTAAAGAAATGCATTCCAGAAAAGCTAGAGCCCCTTTATTATTCATCTCTAATTCTAGTCCCTTCACTGCTTCCATAGATGTAACCTTCATACTAATTTTGATGCTCAGTCTTCCTATGGACGTTCTGAAGTAGAAATAATATGTATACATGAATATGCACAATACGTGTACATCTGCAGTTTTCAAACATTGTGAAGTGTGCCTCTCATTCCATAATTTAGTTTGCTTCACTCAACGTTATGTATGAGATTTATCCACAGTTATAAATACCATTCTACTAATTCATTTTAACAACCAGGTATATACATCTTTTGTGAATATATCAAAATATATTCACCCATTATTTGCAGGTGGACAATTGTATTGTTTTCCATTTTAGCCATTATGAATACTGCTCATATGTGTCTCCTTATGCACGTGTGTTGAGTTTCTCCGTGATATACACCTAGAAATAGAACTCCTGAATCAAAGACCATATGCTTTTTCAACTTAAAGAGACAAATTTTACTTCAAAATGCTTATGCCGATGCTTATTCTCAAGCACCGTATGTATGAAAGGTTCTGACTTCCCACACTCTCACCAATATTCTTACCAGGTATATTCTGACCCTTCAAATACTGGTGATCTTGTAAGTATAAAAAGACATCACACTGTGATTTTAATTGCATTTGCCTGATTACCAGTGCGGTTGAACATTTATTCATATCTTTCTGAGTCATTTGTCCACTTCTGCTAACTGTTAGATCATGTCTTTTACCCATTCTTGTTGATGTTGTTGGGTTGGGTGTCTTTTTTCTTATTGATTTATTGAAGATGTCCTTATACATACTGTATATTAACACTTTCTCAATTAAATATGTTGCAAATACCTTTGTCCCAATCTGTGGCTTGTCTTTTCACATTTCTTTGAAAAATGGTGATTTTGAGGAAAACAATTTTTAAAAATATAATCACATTTGAAATTTCAGCTTTGTATCAGGTAGTTCTGTGTTTTAGGAACCCCTTTCTGCCTCAAGGTTATAACAACATTCTACTCTTTTCTTCTAAAAGTTTTAACATTTTGCCATTCTGCATTTAGGTAGTTATCCACCCGGAAATTATTTTTTATTATAATATGTGTTAGCAATCTATTTTTATGTTTTCCAAGTGTTATAAACAAATGCCTTAATAACTTTTAATAAGAGTTCACTTTTCCTCCACTGATTTGTAGTGCTGCATCTGTCAGGGTTTCAAATGTGCATCAACATGTTTTGGGTTTTCTATTAGTTTCTACTTGTCTGTCTGTCTATCTCTGCACACTCTATTGCTTCATAATTAGTTTTGACATTTCATAGGATAATTCCCTCCACCCTGTTCATTGTCCTCAAATTTTTCTGAGCTATTCTTGAGCTTTTTCTCTTCATAATTAGTTTTGGACTTACTTGCCAAGTTCTATAAAAACACTCGTTGAGGTTTTAATAAAATAATACTGATTTTTAGATTAGTTTGGGGAACATTGACGTCTTTATCATATTGACACTTCCCATCAATAAACCTTATGCTACTATAATTACTCTGGACAAGTGTTGGGTATATCATATGTTGTTGCCATGAAGAGTTAAAGTTTGAAAATAAGAATAAAAAGGAGAGCAATCTAGATTCAGGTGCATTATTTAACAGATCCACCCAAGGATAATTTGGGGGAATGTATCTTCATTGATCCACTGTTTAAAATTGATTAAAATCCTGGATACACTTAAGTTGCATGTTAATTTGCAGATTTTTCTGTCCTGAATAAATTCAGATACTTTCCTTCTGTTAGAAAAGATAATCCCATAGGCCATGGTTTATTTCCCTGTGGAATATTAACTAGTTTTATATCTAACTTAGTAATGTTATTCTAATACTACTTTATTAACTTGCCTTTAACTATGCACGTCTAAAATGTCCTTTGAATCACATTTACCACATCTCACTGGTTCTCTCATTAATTAGTGAGTTAAGTAAAGTCTAATCCGTGTTCATTTTATATGTATGAAAGTCATTTTTTTAACTCTCTGAATATAAGCCTACGATAGCTTCGGAGCTTCCACCAAGATGCCAGAGTGGATTCACAAAGCCAATACCACTGTTACCACAGAAATACGTATCATGGGCTGTTTAAGCCCAGGAATAATTGCTTGGTCCCTGGACTGATTCTAAAGCTGCAACAGAGCACTATCTTTGTTAACATGGTTTTGTCCTAATGTAGTACTTTTGAATTTTTTTCTGGCTTTGGCCATTTTGGTTCTGGATCTAGTTTGTTCTAAACAACAATGAAAAATCACTCCCCACTGGTAGCAGCAATGAGTAGGAGTGTAATTTTATATTCTGACCATTCGAGACGGCTACTGGGATTATAGGGATCTATTATCTCTCATGTGAAAGATGATAAAAAATTTGAGTTACTATCCTTTAATGTTTTTTTTGTCTATTTGTGGGCTTAAACTATTTCATAAAAAATTTCCTGAACACTAGAAAGGAAAATAGCCCTTTGAAATCTTGACTGGTGAGTTTTTGTGTTTCTTTGATTACTTAAAGCTCTTTCCAAGGTTGCAGAACTGAAGCAACAAATTCTGTGTTGTTGTAATTGAGAAAAGCCATTATCTCTCACTGTGTATGCATGAAATATGTTCCTAACATAGAAGGGTATTAATAAATTAAATTATAAAGTCTTGGAAGTTAAAGGAGTGATAATCTGGTTCAGAGAAAATAGCAAGCACTTTCATAAATCTTATATTCTAATATCTTACGAAGACTTTAAATGTGCTAGACATTTAAGAAAAAAATCCTTCTTAGAGATTCTGCTAGAAGCTCAGAAATATTTTTATAGAAAGCCCAGTTCACATAATAGAAGTAAATCTTTAGACAAATAAGACTAATTTAATAATTTTGGTTTAAAATACATACCTGTATTTTCTCCATGATTTTGTAAAGGTATGGGTTTGCATTTTCTAAATGAAGAGACTAGTTAATCTGAACTTCCTAATATTCTGATATGGATACTGATCAGATTAACAGTATCCCTACATAAAGCTTAAAAAGCATAAGAAAACCAAATTGTCTTTAACTAAACTGAATCATAATTCTGACAAACTTTTTTATCGATGGGAATTATGTTTTATAGAGTGTCAGCTTAAAACATGAAGATTTCCAAGATTCTTAGTTATCTTCAAAACCTTGGTCATAAAGCATAGCTTTTAATATGTATAACTCCACTTATATTAAAATGTTACAAAGTTACAAAAAATAAAAAAAATAAAATGTTACAAAGTTACTTTAACTTTGCATCATGTTAAGGAATGCGTTTATCTTTGCAATTTAAGACTATAAAAATTGTGTGCGGCTGCAGAAAATGATAGCTACTGGTCTGGTATTGCTTGTGTATGACACACAATCATTATCAAGTCCCTATCTACCTGCAAAGGTTGTTAACTAGAAGTTGATTAAGTAAGCTGTAAATTAAGTGTAATATGCATAATTGAGACGATGCTAGCAGCAACAGTTACAGAAAAAAATATAATTGAGGTAATGGGATGGATTGATTATTTATTTATTTATTTATTTATTTATTTATTTATTTATTTAGAGAAAGGATAGTAGGTTAGCCCGACAGTATCAGCCTGTTCTAGAATATCAGAGAACATAATGAAGATCAAAACTTGAGTGTGCACAGCAAGTTAACAAGGTTTGAAGAAGTGATTTTTATTTGCCTCGGTTTATACCATCTGAGGCCAAAAAGAATTTATAAAATGAGCTGATTTTTTTACGAAATACATTCAGCCTTGAAGGACTTATTCATAATATAATTTA